TTTTTTTATAATATGGAAGGAACACTTTGTGTTTTGGGAGGGGAGAAGAGGTTGAATCAAATACCTTCGTGGCTTATTCCCAAAATGTCTTAGCATGGAACATTGCAATACAGTTTTGTGAAAGATTTTCCTAGCATAAATGTTATACCCAAAGCTCAGTAGTTGACGATGCGTAGGGAGGAGGTGGAAATGAGCTCAACCATGACATGGGGAAAGTTTCTGGGAAGGTCAGGACCAGATCACAACAGTGGTGTTGTCCAGAAGTTATTAATTTCTTTGCTTCAGTTTCCACTTCCATGAACCTGGCAGTTTCAGGCATCTGGTGCTCTCTCTGTCCTCTGGAGTTATAGATAAAAATCTTTAAGTCTTACCAGCTTCCTCTCGTCTTACCAGCTTCCTCTCATTTTATTCACAAAAATTACCTTACCCTTACTTGCAAGGCCACACAATGTTCCAGCCTATTCCCTTATGACAGGCAGGCACAACGCTTCATTTTTCATTGATAATGGGTTTAGGTCAGCAACAGTATGGAGGTGTCCATTTCCATGTATGTTTTTCTCCTTGGACTCTTTCAAGATAAGCGATGAGAAGGTGTTTGCAGCATCCTTGTTGACCCACGGAAGCTGGGTTTCCATCCTCCTCAGCACTGGGAAGAGGAAGCCCTTCAGTCATCACACTTGCCAAACCAACTCTGCGGACCTGGCACCAACCTTGAGATGTATGGAGCTGTTGAAACCCAGGGTGCTTCTGAGCAACACCCTCCTCCACACATCATCTGGCAATCCCTCAGGAAGGCTGCACTTAGCGCTTCAGATATCTCAAGGCATCTTCTGAGCGCCTGAGTAGGAATTTTTTTGAGATTTTGGCATTATCATGTTAAGTCCGAGTTGATCTATTCCCTGCCATAAGGATTTATGCTCATGAAAAATGATTTCTCAGTGCTTGACCATTAAAAAGTTATGGCAGTGTTCAGTGTTGCCTTGATTTCAGCAACTAATGCCATGGTATTAAAAAAGAAATCTAGTGTCATGTAATTCCGCCTGAGCTGAGGGTAGGGTTGGATGTGTCGGTTTCTCCCCACTGAGCTGGGGTAATATTAGTTAAATGGTTTCCTAAGGCCTGGAAGCCACAGTTTGTCACAGAACAAAGACAGATCTTGTTTGGTTTAAACTGTGACACAGTTCTGACAAAATAAGACCCAAGTCTATGTTTAGGATGCGGTGTCCTGAGGGACAGCCGACGGTGGGGTCCAGACTGCATCCTCCAGCTGTGACCTCTGCTGCAGCTAAATTTTCATGGGTGACAGTGCCAAAACATCCCTGGGGGCACACATTCTTAAATGTGGGTGTGCTGAGTCCCAGGGAAACAGGCCTAGGGCGGTAAAATGGGTGCCCTGTTTCCCGGAGCCTCTCTGGTCCGGAGCCGGAGGAGGAGCGGGCACAAGAGATGGGCTGCTGGGCAGGGGGGAGCTGGGGCCCGTCCTCCGTGGGGCTGCTGGTCGCGTCCTTTCCACCTAGGTAGGATCATCCAGCTCTGGCTTTGAACAGGAGCGTGCCTGCCAAAACTGCTGGTCGGTAAATGATATTTTTGTGTCTGGAATGAGGGAAATGCGTATTTTATCCAGCTAATTAACCTGAGGGATAGAGCTAACGTGATTATTGTGTTCTCCTTTCCCTCGCTCCTGTCAATATGGCCATGTGGTATTTGTATCTCGAAGTTGTTATTAAACTGGCTTATGTGTAAGAAATCAAACAAGGAATATAATAAGGATGACGATGATTTTGTTCAGCCTCTCACCTTTATCCAGCACTAACAAGCTAGGAAATGGCACTGTCCTTTATTGTCTTCCTATCTCTGTAAACTTGCTTTTATTAAAAAAAAATAAATAAAGCGCTTAAATAAGCAAAGAGGAACGGGCTTGGAAAATTCTGTGGACTCCAAGGTGCTTCTCTGTTTTTCCTCTGCAGGAACAAACACCACCCATTCCCCCTTTCCCACGCACTGAACCTTTTTATTAATATGGCAGGAAACATGACTCAATCTGCAGCTTTGTCAAGACATAGACAGGAAATTTAGGTGCTTGAATTACCAACTGCTGCTGTTTGTCAAATTTTTTCCCCTTAGAGCTTGATAGTTTAGTGCCTTAGCATAGGCTGTTTCTTTGAATGTAGTGACTAATAAGATAGTCAAAGTTGCCTCAGCATTACATCTTCTTTGGGAGGGCGAGGAGTTATCGGGGAAGAAAACGCTGTATGTTATTGGAGGCTAAGAGAGAAGAGGTGGGAGTGTCTCACCTGTAGCTCTAGTGAAAGTCATACATAGGTACCCATGCATAGGCACCCTTTTGTTCGGTATCCCATGTCTCTGGTGACCACGCAACAAAATCCTCCTGTGTCCTCTTCAGTCAGAGCAGAAGCCAAGGTGCAACCCAAAATAGGTCACCGTTTGGTCCTGTCCACGGACCGGGGCTGGGGGCACCTTGCCTGGACGTAGCTTGCACCCTGCTTTTTCAGTTGCAAACTGCCTGACTTCAGGCACAGCTGCAGTACTACTACTACAGACTCACATAAGCCACAGCCTCATGGGTTTTTTTTTTTCTAGCAGTTGTCTCCTTGAGATTTGATGGGTTTCAGTGTGTGTTTTCCAAAGGCTGAAGCCCAGGCACAGACCCTTGTGGTTGTGAGCTGTCTGCAACACCGTGGCAAGCACTGCAAAACAGCAATGGCCTACGAGACGGGAGACTGGAAAAAGTATTTTCTTCCAAGTTTTGAAGGCTTTAGGGCTTGCTCAGAACATTTTTAAATTTTTCACCCAGGTTTAAATAACAACTGAAATTATTGTTTATTCCAGGACCTGAGATTTTTGGAAATGACTATTCCGGCTGCTCAAAGGTTTTAAATGTTCACGGTGAGGTAAATTCATTCTATATTTTAATATCAGACGGAGAGAAAGAATATAATGGTATTAGACAGAGCTGTCTGCTTGTCCAGGGTGAGCAAAGTGCTCTGGCCCAGCATGGGCTGAAGAGCTGAATGGTCATTTCTGGTTCTCATGAGGGGTCCAGCTTGTAAAAATAATAAAATAAATTAAAATAAAATAAACCAAAATACTTCCCTATACCATAGCCTTTAAAGAGCCTCCTTATGATCACCTCTTTCACAAATAAACATCTTGGTTTTCCAGATATATGCAGATGCAAACAAGAACAACCCCAACAGAGACAGTGTTGATTTTCTGCTCCATTGCAAAGATGGTTCTACATAACAGTTATTTTATAAAGCTAATAAAACCAGCATGCTTTTATTTACGAGTGTTGCATTAAAACAAGTCAGGATAACATAGCTGCTTAGATCTGATTCTTACTCTGCATAGTACAGGTGTGCTGCGTGAATGTCTGGTGTGTCTTAGCGTGTTTTAATTGGAAAGAGTTCAGCCAAAATAATTCTTTCTCATCTTCTGACAACACAATGGTTATTTTCCCAATGTGAGCCATGGCCCCCCGACCTCCACTTTCCAGTGCGACACCTGCATGTGAGGCACACATACGCTAATTAGCGTGCTGTGCAAAGGGACATCTCCGCGAACAGTGCCTGCTGTGCTCCTCGCCAAGCGTGGGTGTCAAGGAGAGATGGTCCAGCAGTTCCCAGCATCGGGTGGATGGGAGGCAAGAGCAGAGCCGCGAAGGACCCAAGCTGGGAGGTGAGTGGTGGGAGAGTCCTGCAGCCACCTGCCACCCCAAGCACTGCAAAGGGACAATGTCCTGGTATCCACTACAGCACTTGACCTCCCTGGGATGCCTGTGGTTATGTCCCTCACCCTTGCCTCAGCACGCTGTAGATATTTAAGGACATGGACTGCCTCTTAAATTTGTTCAACAGACTTTATTTCAACTTTATTCCCTCATGATGCTGAAAGAAATCAGTGAACATCTACCTGTCATAATTTTAAACATGTTCCTTACCTGGAAATTTAACTGTCTTCTGTATTTCAGAACCTGAGAACAGTACAAATGAGGCAGGGAATGATCATGACTTTCTATGCTTTTAATAGGCACCTTGATGCAGAATTTCGTAGTAAAAAGATATTTTTCCTGGAATACTTCATTAGCATGAGATTATTATACACTTCCAAAGAGATCAGAGTTTCTCTTGTGCTGCCTTTGAGGGGTGAGATAGTGGCAGCTGGTATTTTGGAGCACTGCTTTACTGAGAAGCTGAGTTCTAATATCCTTCTGAAGGACTGTCAGGTGCATGTTATTGCTGATTGCTACTATCTATTCTGGTTTCAAATTAATTCTAAAGCGGTCCATGTAATGCTGGCAAGTGGTTTGTCCTCAACAGGCATGGCTTGCCCAGGCCAGATTTGGAGACCTAAATAATTTTTTAAAAAGCTGTTTCTCTGAGAAACCTTTAATACTCCCATCTAATCCTCAACCTCGAATCCTTTAGCCCCAACTATCATACTGCTTAGTGTGAATCCTGCCTCTCCAAACCAGCACCCCAGTGCCAGGTCTCTGCCTCCCCATCATGTTCTCACCCAGGGATGCAAGGATTCTGGCCACGGGAGGCTCAAAGCTAACACAGGGATATTCTTTGCACAACACAGAGGTAACCGTGGAACTCATTTCCTCAGGATGTTAGAGATGCTGAAAGCTTACATGGGTTCAAGATTTGATTAAACTCATTGCTGAAAGAAAAATGCACAAAGGGCTCCTAAACCGAAAAATGCTGTCTCTGGTACAGGAAGCCTCTGTGCTACTGGTCCCTGGCAGCAGCATCACCATGTGGTTATCCAGGCTTAGATGTTATCCCAAGCACTTGGTTTGGGCTGCTGGCTGGGGCTTTGGTTTTGCTCAAGGAGAACACAAGTGCAGCCGATGCACGCAGAGGGCATCCTCCTGCCTGGCCATGCTGTCTCCTGCTGGGCCGGTACTGGACAGAGGATAATGACCTACACAGACATCTGGGTCAACTTAATAAGGCTCCTTGTATACAACAAGCATGCCAGCATGGGCCCTGGCACTGTGCGAAGTCCGGCCCAACAGCCGCTGGAGCCACAGGCAGCTGCCTGGTTGCAGGGCAGAGCTGGGGGGGCAGACCCCAGGGGGCACCTGCCCACCGGGTATCCACCGCTACCGCAGAGACACAGGTACTGGTAAAAGCAGCTTTGTGCCAGCCACTCGTATTTTCATCTAAATAAATGAAATAGAAAGGAGTTGTTCAGTTGATACCAACCACTCATCGCCTTTGAAAGCTGATCTTCTGGCATCGATTGCAGTGACAGGTAAAGAGAGGGACACGTCTGCGAGAGGAGGTTTGCACAGACTTCGCCGTGATGCTGAGCTCAAGCAGTGGCTGTGACTGAACAGCAACCACATACATGTTGCCAAACGCCTTCATCCTCTAGCCATGATCTGCTGCAAAATGTGCCGCCCATGTGCTCGTACTGACTGGGTGACTCACGGCCTCCCCCGTCCTGGCTCACCAGGCAGCCCTGTGAACACGGGAAAACAGGGAGTCACACTCCCACCCCGGCTCTGCCTGCTGCAGGGCTCTGAGCACCCACAGCTCCTCACAGCCACTGGTTTCGGCACCTCAGTGTGTATGGCACTCTGGGTTCAGACCCTTGTAATGGAGAAAAAATAGAGAGGGTAGCACTTGGGTTACTTGTGGAAGCAAACAGGGTGAGTGGCAGGGATGTTAGCAGTCACACGCTGTTGTGGAGCAGTGCGAAGGTGCAGAGCAGCAGGGAACTGCCAGTCTGAATGTGTTACATGGCTCAAGCCATGCATGTGGAGAAAGCATCTTGGACCTTACAAATCTAGGAGAGCAAGAGGAGAGCTGTGACTCAGAGAGCCACCGCAGTCTCTCCTGGCCATGTGATAATCACGCTGTACTTCCATGAGTTGGTGGGTGAAGAAGCTGGCGGCAGCAAATCGCTGTTGGATGCAGTTCGTGGTGCTGAAGCCACTGGCAGAATGTATGTGGAGGCATTCACACGAGCCCCCACAGCAGGTGGTGAAGCAGCCCTGCCCCAGGATGGAGCTGCAGCAGGGTGTCCAGCACTCAGGTCTTGCAGGAAGAGGCCAGCATTCTTCGGGGACCTTCTGGTTTTTCCAGGATGTTAGGGAGCACTGTAGGGCTGATGTGGGAACATGGAAATTCAAAGGGACACTTTTTCACAAACCTAAAGGCTTGACAAAAAGGTGGAGCAGTTGGTGGTGAGCCATGGTTGTAATGGCTAAAGTCACACAGTCACCTGTCCACACGATAGCTCATAGCTGTGGCCTGTGACCAGCAGTTTACCACCTTACTGCTGTATCAGCTCCGCAAAAGGCTTGGCCTCTGAGACCGAGGCATCAAACAGCTGCGATCAGGCTGGAAGCTCCTCCGCCCCAAAGCCAGCAGACAGAATGACTGAAGAAACAAGCCCCGAACTCAGAGCAGGGGCCTGTCCCCTCCCTGTGCATCCCTGTGCATTCACCATCATCTCTTCACAAGCCAGATCAAGAGGACAGCAGGTTGAGGGAGATTCTCCTCCCCATCCATTCTACCCTAGTGAGGCCCCATCTGGAGTATTGTGTCCAGTTCTGGGCTCCCCAGTTCAAGAAAGATGAGGAGCTACTGGAGAGAGTCCAGCGGAGGGCTAAGAAGATGATTAGGGGACCGGAGCATCTCTCATATGAGGAAAGGCTGAGGGAGCTGGGCTTGTTCAGCCTGAAGAAGAGAAGGCTGAGAGGGGACCTAATAAATGCTTATAAATATCTCAAGGGCGGGTGTCAGGAGAATGGGGCCAGACTCTTTTCAGTGGTGCGCAGCGACAGGACAAGGGGCAACGGGCACAAACTGAAGCAGAGGAAGTTCTGCCTGAACACGAGGAAGAACTTCTCCACTCTGAGGGTAACGGAGCACTGGAACAGGCTGCCCAGGGAGGCTGTGGATTCTCCTTCTCTGGAGATATTCAAGACCTGCCTGGACAAGGTCCTGTGTCTGCCCAGCCACGGGTGGAACAGGTTGTGTAGATGCGCACAGCCGAAGAGCCCCGGGCTGCCTGCCACTCACTGCTCCCTACCAGTCTCCTGCCTCCCACTCTGCCCGCAAGGCAGATGCAGCTGTGGAGCCACTTGGCAGGCTCCCACATGGCTGCATCACCCGTCATCCAGCAGCAGCAATCTGCCTGCTTTCGACATGGCCGGTTGAACTTGCTGCCTTGTGGCCTCCTAGAATGAAAGGGTGCAGCACATCACCACTGGCAGAGGTGAGAAGTGCTCTGCTCCCTTCCCTGTTTGCCATGCCCCGGTGTCAGAGTATTACCATGCTGTTCCATCCCTTACCCCACGTATTCCAACAAATATCTGCTTCTGGCAGACCTTAGGAAGCTGTTGCACAGCAGGGGGGAGGGGTGTTTGTGGAGAAGGTAGCAGGGTGTTGGCGAAGGGTACAGGCATCAGGCTGCCCTCTCAGGGGACCGTAAAACTAATGCATTGCTTTATATGGCTGGGGATCGGCTTTTGACCTTAAGGAGTAGGAACTGGAATGCTAAAGCAAAGAAGAAAACTCACCACCATAACCATGAGCTCATTAGTAGCTTACTGGTAGTAGCTCGGCCACATTCGGGGCAGAGGGCAGTGACCTTAGCATGGCTTTGAAGGGACCTGAGTGATTGGCAGCTCATCCGAAACACTCAAATTCCTGACATTAACCAGCACTCCAGGTCTGTAGTGCATCAGGTCCCATGCTCGCCCAACGAAGTCACCTCACCAAATTAACACAGCTGCGGAGATGAATAAAAATGTGGACCTTGACATGCTTGCAGGCTTGGTCAGGCCTTGGAAATGGCACTCTGGCTAATGTGCCAGCAGCAACCCCCAGAAGGTCAGAGATCTGGATGCGAGCAGTTATGACTGTAGCTTAGCCATTTCCTGGGCATTTTAAACAACTGTTCCCTTCTTAGCTGCTGGAACTCACAGGAAAAACACCCCAATGCAATTCCTCTTCTGCAGCAGCATCTCCAAGATAAGAGCGGAGACACTCGTTGCCCATGTTCTTGGGGAAAACAGGAAAAGACAATTTGCAGAGCCACTCTGGGTGCTGCGCCCATGCAGCCTCTCAGCACAGGTCGCAGTCCTGTTTTCCCTGACAATCTCCTGCCACAAAAGAAATATGCTAACTTGCAACCTGTGCCTCATTGTTTTAACTTGGATATAGGTTAAATAAGTAAATACAAAAATACTCAACCAGTTAATCACAAAAGGGGAAAATACTCGCTTCTCCTCCCTCCTAAAAGCTATTTCCTCTACCCTTCATTCATTTACTTGTTATTATATTAAGGATCAGTTAGATATATTAAGAATCAGTTAGATAAACCCTGAAGTGGATTTCTCAATAATCTCTGTTTGTGTGGTACAGAGAGCAGCTGGAGTTGGAGACCAGGAGGGAAAAAGCTGGTTTCACCTCCCTATCAACGTGAGATGTTCATCATTAAAGAGCAGAAATTAAGATCTGGCCTGACAGAGCTGGCAGAAGGGTCACACCTTGGCAGGGATGTCACCCAGCCTGTAGGACTGGCCTGTAACTGATAATCTCCTGATAGTATTACAGTATTACATTATGACTGTCAACTTTAATTAAGCACACTCCCATTTGCTGTGTCCTTCTAAACATTGCTCCAGGGCCACGGCTAATTCAGCATGCAGCCAAGTTTCATCAGAAGGCGTTTTTGCCTTGTTGATATCAGGTTTTTATCAGCCACCGGTGGGGTTAGCTCAGCATTTTTGTGCCTGCGGTGAGAAGGCCCTTTGCAACGCAGCAGGGGACTGTGGTGGGAGTGCGTCATCCACCTTCTGCCTTCCCCCAAACTTTCAGCCGTTGCCGGCGCTGGTCCTGGGGCTCCCAGCTCTCGTGGGGACTCAGAGGCAGAGCCCCCTCCCCACCTCCACCCCATGCAAAGGGGTGCTGGGCATCCTTCAGCAGCTGAGCTGTGGGGACATGGCCACCGCAAAGCCCCTTCACATTAAACCTTCAACAAAGTCTTCAGCATTTGGCGTCTTTCAGCCCCTGCTTCAGTTTATTGTGCAAATGTGAATTAAGCATTAAGAGACCTCTGTTCTCGCAAGGACACTGAGCACTGATACAGCCCCGTGTTTTATTCATTATAAAGAAATGAATCCCATTACATTAAAAATTCAAATATTAAACTGTATTATATGTACATGTAGGGGATATATGTCTGTGTATTTATTCATAGGTTCTGTAGGGTCCTAGATATAGGTACAAATATAGCAAAATTAAATTACTCACCCAGTCTCATACAGTAAATTGGTAGCTGAGTCAGGAGAAGCACTCAGGAGATGTTATTATTCTCTGTTGGTTACACGGGGAAGCTAAAAGGCTCCATCCAAGGGTCAGTTTATATTTGCAATTTATAACTGCTTTCCTGAGGTGAGGTTTTTCTGGCACTTTGAGAAGTCCCTCGTCAGCTGCTGAGAGAAAGCTGTAATGGCTTCTTTTTTATTCTTTCACACAGTTCTTTTTTAAAGTCATCGAATGATTTGTCCTGCTCTTCTTAGCATATGAGCTTATGTGACCTTTCTGAAGCTAGGCTTGGTCCTGCTTGAATGGGTGTCTGGCCCCTGCTAGCACAAAGAGCATGGCTGGAAAGACAGACGGCGGCTGGCAGGGGAGGGGGGTGCAGGGTCTGGCCCCCCTCACTTCTTGCTGCAAGGAGCAGGAGCCAATTCGTGCTCTTACAGACCCTCTCCCCTGGTGTGAGGTGCAGCCAGGGACACCTTGCCTCTCCAGCCCTGTGAGAGCCGAGATGCGCCGGGCTGCCCAGAGAAACCCCAGGTGTGCTCTGTGCACATCTAACCCATGCTCTTGGGAGGGCTGAACAAGGTAGTGTCTGCTCTTCTAAAGCATCAAGGAATCAGGCAGACAACACTGCTTACTTAAAAATTTACCTTCCCACATCCTGAAGATAGGCTCCTGCCCTTCCCCATCCTGAGTGTGACTTTTTATTTGTGCCACAAAGACTCCTCCATCTCTGGCTCCATCCAAAGTTATGCTAGGAAATTTACCCTCAGTATTGGCCTGACAGAGCTGCTTTCTAGAGCAACATTCTCTGACTGGAAGATTGCTATTGGTGCTATA